CGATGTATAATTACAGGGAGGGATAGTTTGATTTCTGCTGACTTGTGATGATGGAGGGTCAAAAAAGGGTAAATTTTTGCTGATGTAATACTTGAACGGCACCATACTGTGTAAGTTTAGAATACAAAAATAACAGGAAATTTTAAAGGTCTCTATACACAATTGACATACTAACAGAAGGGAATGAGTCACATAAAATATATTAGTTTGTCCATTTATTGCATAATAAATAATCGCTACGATAGTAATTTGCCAATAAAATGACACATGTTTTTAAATGTTTTTATTGTTTCGTTCATTTTAAGAAAAATTGTTTCTAAACTTTTCAATTGGTATATCAATTTGAAAATTTCTTTTGTGTTCCACTATGAATTTTTTATAATATTTTTGTACTGTACATCATCGTTGATTATATGGAAAATAAACGTGTCCTTGAAAAGGTTAGAGAACGAAGCGAGACATTCAAGCATTATACTATTAACACTTAATTGAATGATATATATTTTTTCGTTAGGTTGTTAACGTGTACAGTACTCAAAAAGAAAATTTTAATGGATAAATTTATTAACATTGATAAGTCAGTATATTTTCTATAAGCTTTTTCATATGCAGTGGCGTAGCGTGGGTGTCAGCCGCCCGGGGCGGAGGAAAATTTCACCCCTCCTTATTTAGGTATCTCAATTTAAAAGACTTAAATTCAGTTTCGTCACAGAATAAGTAATTAAAAATTCCGTGCTAGTGTTGCCACCTTTTTAAATCGCCGACCCGGATGGCAGGTGAGGTTTGTTCGAACGGAAGTTCCTGACGCGTGCGTATATCATTTTGCAAAATGCGAACAATAATTTGCACTGCATTCACAGTTAGCGACTAGGGAGACTTGGATAGGAGTAACGCAAGTGACCTAGCCCTATTGGATATTGGAGGTGTATATGATTACGAATGAATCGTATAAGCAAAAAAAAAAAGGTCGACAGGTAGCGCACGATATCCCCGGACGGTGAGTCGGATGGTCACACTATTCTGTGCTCATTTCAATCGGTCCGAATCGTAGGTGGACGAAAGTATGAAAAAAAATGGTTCAAATTCTTACAAGATGTTATTATTTATTGTGTAATTTTTCCGCCCCCTAAAAAGTGCCGCCCGGGGCGGGCCACCCCTGCCGGCCCCCTCTACGCTACGCTACTGTTCATGTGGTACTTCGTACTTGGACTTTCAATATTTAGTATTATAGTTTCTACACGTAAAGTCTTGAAAGAGTTTACGTGTAGAAACTATAATACTAAATAGTAGGCGTAGAATAACGCAACCAAAATTACAACGAATTAATTAGAATTTTATAATTAGTGTACTAGAATTAGAACTTCTAATTAGTCGTTAATAGAAGTCTATTAGTGTATCTGAATTGGACTGTTTATTACTAACGATTTCGTTATTAGGCCTATACAGTCAAACCTGTAAACGACGGCCACTGGCGGGAACAGTCGTTGTTTTTAAGTTATTTTGTACGCTTTTTGTTCAAAAAAACGTTTCTGAAAAAATGGCCGTTGTTGAGAAGTGTACAGTACGTTGTTGCAGATGCGATTGTAGCTATATTTAAACTGACTGATGTATTTTATTGTTTTCGAAGAAATTTTAACAAATTAGTTTCTTAATACAAATACTAAAATTTTATTACTCAACAATTTGAGTAAATCTCGCAAGTTGCAAGACATTACAGTAGAGCGTCGTTTATCTGAAAGCTGGTTATCCGAAAGCATTCCAGTCGGCAAATTTAAATTTTCGCTAGTGCTGTGGCGCTGCAATCTTCGGCTATTTCTTGGGTTACTCAAATATTTTACGTTTTTGATGCTAAATTAACATCTGAAGTATAATTTTTTATTGTTTTTATATTTTTCAATATATTTATTTTGTTTGTACAAAATAAAATTCAACGCGAAGCGACACGCAACGGAGAAAAATTTCAACACGGGATAAATTAATATATTTTTTCGTACATGATTCGTTATCCGAAAAATAAGTTATCCGAACCACCCCAGTCCCCAATTGATTCGGATAAACGACGCTCTACTGTATTCATATTGACAACATAAAAGCTATAATACTAACGGAGCCGTGTAACGCAGAAAACTAGAATTCTGAGCGGCTTACTGGGAGGAGTTAAGAATATTCAGAACATTCTTGAACGATTATTCCTTGCTAAACAACAAGGAAAAATGGCGGACGAAGTTAAAATTAAATAAAAATAAATATAATAAAAAATTAAAATACATGTATATACTGTATTTCATTTGTTGATGAAAAAACAAAATGGCTAAAGGAGCCCAGTTTACCCGCTTATAGATATAGAAATTTCTTGTAATGCATTACGACTCCAGTTATTTGTGAAAATTTTAAGCAGTGCTATAACTAGCCGAACAAGAATTGGATTATTTATTACTTGCGATTTCATTATTATACAGTCAAATCTCTGAACTGCTGACGGAAACATTAAAAAAAACAGCCGTTGTTTGAAAGCTTATACGCATTTTTGTTCAAAAACAAAAAAAACGTTTCTGGAAAAAATGGATGCTGTTTAGAGATGGCCGTTATTAGTAGTTCGATTGCAGCTATATTTAAACTGGCTGATCTATTTTATTATTTTCGAAGGAATTTAAAAATAAGAAATTTGATTATGTAATTCTAACGGTAGGATTTATTGTCATTGATATAGGCTATATATCATTTAATTTTAATTCAAGTAAATTAGACATAATGTAATTTTATTTAATTCACGAAAATTATATTCTCCAAGACAATTACATAATTGTCTCTCCAACTTAGGAAAATCCATTTGTGCAAATGTTCTTTTCAATTCACTAATTTATCTTATTGCATGATTTATGCGAATATCAACTTTTGTAGTTTATTAATATACAGCGAAACCAGTGATCAGAGAACGATTTTATATTTTTAGTGTTCAATAGCGATTTAATTGCAATTATTTTTTCAATTATCAAGTAGAAAATGAAATTAATTTCGTCCATTTCGTAATGCATTAATTATTGTAATCAAAAAGATTAATTACACTAATTAATGCATTGTTCGACATGCTATTAACAGTATTTATTTATAGCCTATATCTTTATCTTGAGGTATTTAGGCCTATATTAAATATCAAAAGATAAATATAAATTAAGTTAAAAACTAACATATATTTTGTATTTAATAAATATTTAATAAAGTAAATGTGGATCTGAAAGATTCCTATCTTTTCATTGATTATATATAGGCCTATACGCTATATATCTGTCTCTCTCTATCTGCCTTCTACTTCTAGTTTCCATTGTCGGTCTTTTGTCACAGGTTCTTGGATGCCGTAGTATATTTGTCTTTCCAGGTTTTTCTTGACTGACCCCGTGGTCTGTTTCTCTCAATCTTAATCTTTTCCACTCTCCTAATGTATTGACCTCAGGTCTTCTCATCACGTGGCCATACCACGTGTTCAGGCCGAATGACCGAGGCGGTTAAGGCGTCAGCCTATCCGTAAGATGGACCTAGACCGAATCCGGAAATGTCAATAAATTCTTGCCATTGAAAAGAACAAATATCTCAATTTACTAATTGTAGCTGTATTATTCGTTCAGTGAATGGTTGTCTCCTTAATCCGAAATAATTCCTTGCTGTAAGATAGTCTACCGAAGGAATTATTTCGGATTAAAGAGACAGTCATTCACTGAACAAATACCTCGTTACTTTCCCGGCTCTGTTATATACCTGTATAAGAGGGAAAGAATGGTAATCGATCAAAAAATGACCCTTCAAGATTTTTACATTTTTGGACTTAGGGGACCTTGGAACGTTGAGAAATGCAAAAAGAAAAAAACACTGGGTTTTTCCGTATGTATGGATGTTATTGTGTGGAGTGCACGATTTTTTCACCCTCTTTGAAGCTTAATAATTCCTCTGCTTTTCGTCGAAAATTTCTGAAATTTTACAGGGAGGTTTGTGTATTAGGGGATTGATGCCATTAAATTTTGGTGGTTATAGGTCTTGGGGGTGGGGAGATAAAGGAAAATCGTAAAGTTCGACCCTACGTCCGAGGGTCGGACTTAATGATTTTACTCCTTATTAGTATTTACAATCTTTTATAAAACCCATCCCTACCCCAAAATTAAGCTTTTTGTCATTTTATAATAATTAAAACTATAAAACGTGTTTTTAAATACAATATCGTAACAGATGACGCCCCCAAAATTTTAAATGTTATCAGGAAAGTTAAGCAACTCGTTGCTGGATTTTTTAAAAATGTTATTTTAATCTTATGTACCATAAAATTAATCAAGTAGCATTTAACGATTTTAACGATTTTTATTTACCTTCCTAGTGCTTAGAAGTTGACTTTCCCTATCTATATTTTTCCTGTATTCGAATACATTAAAAATAAATACAACCGGATCACCTACTTGAGATTTTTGATCTCGGTCTATGTTTATTCCTCAGATCCGTGTCCATCTAAATATAAGTTATTTATAAACTCTATATGTATTTCGACCACATTCATAAAACTATAGTCTTATCGACAGATAAATTTGACATATTTAATTGATTACGTAATTTAAATCGCAATGAAATTATTTTTTAAATAATATTACTAGAAAAAGATCCATAGCTGTAGACATATTTATAATTAATATTATGTTTATTTTTACAATTTGGATTTCGCGAAGCGTAATAATTTTACACGTGTAACTTGTTTTTTTTTTTTTTTTTTTTTTTGTAAGAGCCCACATGGCCAAGGGGCTAATGATATGGCAACGTAGAGTTTTCCGTTTTCATCATATCTAATGCGTAAATAGTTTCTCACAAAGTCCTCTTGAGAGGCTTTCCCTTGGCATAGACAATTTGTCAATGTTGCGTTGCCTATTCCCATTCTTATATATATATAATTCTTATATATAGTTATAATTATTTACTTGGTAAGAATATCAGTTTTAAAACATGACGAGTAGCATGCAGTAGTGTGTATAAGTTAATGCGCTCTGTTTTTCGAACATGTTTTTTTTTATTTATCTCACGAAAAATTGAAATTAATGTGGACTGATCAGACAAAGTGACAAAACAACGTTACATAGTTGACAACTGCTTAACACAAACAGAGCCGTCGAGCTTACATGGATTCCGGCGTTGAGCGGGCCCTTTTTTCCTTAACAAGTCCCTTTTACCATTTTTTTTATTAAATAAATGATATAAGTAGAAAGTGTTTTTATTAGTAAAAAGCAACCGTAACAATTTTACTTTTTCAGTAAAAATAACATTAATTTATAAGAGTTTTTATAGCCCCTAAAGTTTTCTCTGGGCTCGGGGACCTCTCGAAAGCCCTGAATACAAAGCAGAAATCTCATCCGACCTTTCTTTCGTAGGCTAGAAGAAGAGTAACGTAGCTGCGATGTAGCGAAACATAGTAGCGTGACGATGTGTTATTTATCATTAAAGATATATTGTCTCGCAGACCTGTATTTAATGATATGAATCTGTATTTACTGATTCTGGTTACTATTTTAACCTGTTATTGGTGACGATATACACTCTAATTTCGGGACATTATTAGAGTGTATATTATTTATAAAAACTGTAGATTATAAAGGACATAGTGATTACTGCATTAAAAACAGCAATTGAATGAAAAGAAAATATAAAAAGAATTGCCAGAAGGAATTTCTTAGTAAGTCTAATAAAGAATCATTGTGTATTTAACCCAATCTGCTTAGGCATATTTTTCTATTTGACAGTATTTAAACACCGTGTTTGTTATCTTGAGAAACAGAATATTTTTCTATAATTCTCAGAAATAGTCTATAAAATATATATTATGGGTTTAATAAACTTTACTTTCTGAGAACTCCTATTTGTTTTTTATTCCAGTAATAATTTATAACAAACAGTGCAACAGAATTTTCAACGATTTGTTTTTTATGCGTAGTTGCGTGGTAATGCTCTTTACTTTCAGGGCCCGGTTTGAACATGAGCTAATCAAGCTGAAGCTTAGGGACTCTCGTGGGCCTCACATTTTTATATGTATCATTACTTGATAATGTGTTACAGCTTAGGGCCACAACATATCTAAGTCTAATCCCGTTTGCTTTCTTTAAAGTATTTAAATAGTAAATATAAATTGATAGAATTATTATATTTAAATATAGTATTTTTAATGTAATTAGTGTAGGCCTATACAGTTATTCTATCATTGTATTATTAAAATATATAATAACGTTATATAGCATAATACAATAATAATCATCTATTAGAATTAATTTAGATTATTAACTGCAATAAATCGGCATATTCTTTTACGAGATAGGATAATCAAACAGGATGTTTATGATGCTTAAAGTTTATTGTATCTTATTTAAAAACTAACGATGACATCATTCATACACATCACGTGAAATACGTCTTCATTTAATAAATTTTGTCTCGTGAAAGGAAGAAAAATGTCATGACGTAAGATATGATCTGAGAAGAATAATTACATTTATTATCATTTAACATAAAGCTACTTTAATTTATTGGAAAATACGATTATGCTTTTTGTTTAACTTTTTTAAAATATTTCCACTAAATTTAAATATTACGAATCTGTTTTAAATAGTTTCTGAACGCGTAAAGTTGACATTCGTTGTGTTAACCACGTGCTTCTCTTTAATGTCACGTGCGCATACTCTACATTCGGGCATCTCCCACTTGTACGTGATTGTTGCTCATTGACTAATCAAGATGCTACTTGTTCTTTTTATTATTCTTACTTTTATTGAAGAAGGCTCGTGTTTTAATTACGAATTTAACTATAAAAATTGCAATTTTATATATCCGGTGCTGATAAATCCGAGAGAACGTTCAACGGCTCTAAAACAAGCTCAATCTACAGATCTGAATCCATTCAAGATTTCACTTTCTTCGAATGAATATCATACGAATAAAATCATTAAAGGTAAATTTATTTATTTTTTTACTTCATTTATTTACATTACTTTTCTGGAAACAGCTAAATATCGCTCTATTAATATAAAGAATAATTGTTTTTACATTACTTCTATAATTATTTAATCATAAATTATTATTAAAAGTTTAATTTTTCAGTTAGCCTATACGTCAGTATAATAATACTTTAAATAAAGGGCAAAAAATGAGATACAATGTTAAGCGTAAATAGTTTCTCACAAAGTCCTCTTGAGAGGCTTTCCCTTGGCATAGACAATTTGTCAATGTTGCGTTGCCTATTCCCATTCTTATATATATATAATTCTTATATATAGTTATAATTATTTACTTGGTAAGAATATCAGTTTTAAAACATGACGAGTAGCATGCAGTAGTGTGTATAAGTTAATGCGCTCTGTTTTTCGAACATGTTTTTTTTTATTTATCTCACGAAAAATTGAAATTAATGTGGACTGATCAGACAAAGTGACAAAACAACGTTACATAGTTGACAACTGCTTAACACAAACAGAGCCGTCGAGCTTACATGGATTCCGGCGTTGAGCGGGCCCTTTTTTCCTTAACAAGTCCCTTTTACCATTTTTTTTATTAAATAAATGATATAAGTAGAAAGTGTTTTTATTAGTAAAAAGCAACCGTAACAATTTTACTTTTTCAGTAAAAATAACATTAATTTATAAGNATCGAGACGCAACCACCCCTATGCACGAATGGAGACTTGGGGCTACCACCACATACAAACACCATTCACGTGCGATGTGTAGTTTTGGCGAAAAAGTGAGATATAGGGACATACATGTCCATTTATATATATATATAGATTATCGTTGCTAATAGCTATAAATTTATCAGAATTATAACATAAATTAGAATATTTTAGTCACATGGTTTGTCGAAAGGAAATGACGAAATCAGAATACTGATTAATCTAATTACAAGATGATTTTTTCAGATATTTCTTCCCCTTCATCAAAAAAGAAAACCGATTATTCTTATATTTGAATTCTTGAAATCACAATCCGAGATAATCAAACATTTGTTATTCATTTGTAAGTCACAGTATTGCTTTTTAATTTAAAAATACACTCAGTTTTATTTAATGTTTTACTTGTCGCCGATTCATAAGTTTGGTGGGTGGATTGCGACAACGCATGGACGATCAACCAAGAGGGAGTGCCTTCCAGGAGGACTTTCTATGGGAAACTGACTCCTATTTAAGTGTTAGACACTTGAAGAAAACCCGGAAAACTCCAGGTACAGTTTGTTGGTTAGGAGCAAAACGCGAGCAATCTATGATTTTATCCACTCGGCCACTGGGAGACACACGAGAGTTATTCCTATTTTGAATTTTTTCTTTCGTTAATTACATTCTCTTGACATTTTAAGTTGTCTGGGTATTGTTTGTAGCTCTTCTTGGTTTTCCTTTAACTTCTTTAAGAAGATACACACTCACACACACAGGAAGTTTGTATCTGTGTTAAAACTTCTTTAATTAATAATCGTCTTTGTGGTGAGACTCCCGAGTGGTATCATTTCTTGAATTTCTTTGACTTCTTCAATGTTCTCTTTAACAAATTGTGCTGTCATCTCTTCCAAATATTTCTTTGAAAATGCTTCATGACTTTCTAGCAATCCATTGATATCACCAATGCCAAAATTTTGGCCATTTCACACACATCATCAACTATATCTAGAATAGGCTCAAACCCAGAAAAGTCTGAAATTGTATCAGGCTACAATTAGGTCGATAGATATGCTGGTCTCTCAACTATGTTCTAAAAAAGAGTTCATGTGTCAGGTTGCCGATAGCCGGCGCTCGAGTCGCTTTGCGGCTAGATGATGTTGGTTTATCCATTTGATTAGTAGATAGTTATACCATTTTCAAGCATTTTTGTAACTTTTTTCTACGAAAAAAAAACAACAGCATGCCGAATAAGTGTTTAGTGATTGGTGTAAGTCTGGGTACTGCAAATCTGGTGAGAAATGGCATTTTTTCCACCACTTCCGTCCGAACCAGTTACATAAGTGGAAACATATAATTCCTCGAAAAGATTTACAACTCACAAGAAAATCTCGAATATGTGACTTGCATTTTGATGAAAGATTTCTGATTAAGAATTATATGCCTATAATTGAGAGTAAAAAAGTTGAGATTTTCCATGAAAAATGGCAACTAACCAATACAGGATACTTATCCCTATCCTTCGAATTTTTCCAATTTCTCGTTATATTTGTCAGTTAAAGTTCCAGAACATTTAAAATTGTTTGCAGAATACTAGCACATCAACTAATTATTATCAACCACTTTTCATATTGGATAAATTAAATTTAAAATAAAGTTTTTTAGTATATCATCTCAATTTTTAATATTTTTAAATTTTTATTTACAGTTTTAAATTGAGACATTTACAAAATTAACTTAATTTAAAACTGTTGTATTGCTACATATTTGTATGCAAGTTTTGTACATAATTTTCTCTTTCTGTATGCAGCATATCTGTTTATCATCAATATGATTATAACCTTTCCATTCATCTGTGTACACAATGCTTCCTGAATTTACAAATTTACTAATAATTCAGTTAAGACTAACTTCTGACCTGTCATTTACTTTGCATACAAAACATCAATTATGATCTGGACAAATTTCACCAACAACCTAACTGGTTGTGTAAGGTAGCCGACCCGGTGGAGATAGGGGATTTGAAAACCCACTCCTCGACATCCGTGTAAGGTTGCCTTCTTTAGCTGGGATCAGTTAATCCCGCGTCAGGATGAACGTAAGGGAAGGTTGTATGTGGGCTGTGGCGGAGGAAGCAAATGATGACAAATGTTTTACACAAGAAAGCCGTTTATTTGTTAACATTTATGCTTACATCGACAATTGACAGTCCTTCACTAGTCCTTCGGAGAGGCAGAGAGGCAAGAACTTCGGCGTCGATCATAATCCCGGGGCGGACGAGATGAGATCGCTGGGCGAAGCGGACGATCGGGGAAATGGTGCGACGGAGTTCTAAGTTGTTGGCGGCGACACAACACAATTCAGATCACGACATTTTGCAGAATACGGAGGAGATCCTTTCTACCTTAAATTTCTGATTTTTATGTTTTCTCCCGCTATCCTTATTTCCGATTGGCCCCCTCGTTTCCTTCCTCACTTTCAGATTTGTCTCTTCTTTGTTTCGGGCGAAAACCGAGACCGACTCGAGTCACGGGGAAGGTCCGATTCCAGGTGTCTATTCGACGCCCTTGCTTGGGGATTGTTAAGAAAATCGCAAGACTCGCGCTCATAATTTAGCCCCGTTACTTGTGATTTCTGTCATCTGGGTACTTTAACGATCATATGCGGTGATTTATATCTCTTAAATCGTTCCCTCTTTTCCGAAATTGTTTCCCTGGATTGATTATTTATGAGCATCTGTGTCTGACTTATAACTTTTCATTTTGACATTGACAGATCGTTTAACACGTGTTGGAGTCGTCCGGGACTCGTCGTTTACATTTTGTGCCACGTTGTTTAGATTAAGGGATTTTTCCTCTTTCTCTCTCTCATATTTAGTCTATCATTATAATTTAAACATAAGAATTCCGCGATTTACGCGATTTCGGACCTCTTCTGAAACCTCACAGTTGCTTTCAAAAACCCCCTTTTTCGTTTTTCCTTTTACTCACAACAAACAGGCTCATCGTTTTCGACAATCTTTCCAGGTCCACCAATTTTCATTTGGAATAAATTATACAAGGAAATCATCATAACGTGTCGTATGAAGTTTGTCCAGTCAACAGCTGTACGATTACTCACTCCCACTGCCAATCAAGTTATGCTCAACGTACAGTACACCCTATGCAAATTAGATTCCAAATAAAGGAAAAAATAGTTTCCTATGAAGTTTTCCCGAATTTACCTATAAAAGTTCCGTCAAATGGCGAACTGCTCATCTTGTATTTGTAACATCGGAATAAAATTGAATCACGATCCTTTCGATAAATTAATTTATGACGAACATCACAATTCAGACAATCTGAATCTACAGGTCGCAAACTAATTTTTATGGCAAACTTAACATCTGTTGAAATTCTTTTGTCAACATCAATTTCAGGAAAATCCGACTGTAAATAATGAAAAAAATCCTTTGAAGTACACTTTTGCCATGGAAACTGTTGAACTTTAACTAATTCTGCTTTTACAACAATAAAAAAGAAAACATCAAATATTAACTCCGAAAAATTGTTATACAAACACCAAGAAACAAATCTTTGAAACATAATAATAAAATAACACTAAACAAGGTCATAAAATGTTAATAAATTAATCTAAAAATCAAATAATATTAGAAATCCTGTAAATTATTGACAGCGACACATACAGTATATTAAATCACAAAGTAGATTTGTTGTCGAGATTCCGGAAAAGCCGCCATCCAGTTTACCTAACTATACATTTACCAAAAATTATAATCAGTTCCATCTTTTCTTACCCATAATTAAAACTCCAAAAATATTTAAAAATGAATCCAAATTGTAAGCAAAAACAAACCATCGAATCAATTTAAAGTCCAAAATCATGAAACTGACAGTTAATAAAATTATAAATATTAGAGACATTTATGAAAAAGTAATGTTCAAAACCGAATTAAAATAGAATTTACAAATAGTTTTTTAAAAAGACAAAAAAAAAACTATCTGAATAAAAACGAGAAAATTTTCATCTTTAAAAGCAGTCGACTCTGGCTGTGCTGGAGCCAAACTTACGCCGCAAAGCGATTACAGCGATCGAAGTGTCAGAAACAGTGCTGTGCGATGTCTATAATTTTAACATCGATGTCAAACATCGATGTTTGCCTAAGCATCGATGCTAAATTTCGATGTCGGATTTCACATCGATGTTTGATCGATGCCCATTGAAACATCGATGTCCAATCAAGATAAACTCAAACGGTTTAAAAAAAAAAAAATTAATTTTATTTTCAACTTGTATAGTTCAATTACAGTTCCAATGCATACAGTTCTTCAATTGATAATAAATTTAAAACTAGAAGTTTGTGTACATTCTTTGGCTTTAAAGAACTCCGCTTTTTGTTGATAGTATTTCCAGCTTTGGAAAATAATCTTTCTGCTGGAACTGAAGTGGCAGGAATGCAAAGCCACTTCATGGCAAGTTCACATAAATTATAGTTAAAAAATTTCATGGATTTCCACACATCCAAAGCATTACTATTGTGAGGCACAATAGGGTCATCTAAAAAAGTATTAAAATTTGAATTTAAAGTTGCATTTGTGTTAACATTTCTATCTTAATATCAATTTTTCTGGATGACCAAAGGTCATCATCTTCAAGTTTATTTTCTGCATTATTGTGGAAACTTATTTGAGCCTCAGCAGAGGGAAATTTACAAAGTTCTGCATTTACACATTTAATTGCATTTGCACAACATGCTGGACTTTTAAAATCTAGCTTTTTGAACCTTGGGTCTAGTAATGTGGAAACACTATATACTAACTTCGTCTCAGTGGATTTAAAACGGAAATCAAGATTACTAAAACATTTTTCCAGCAACTTCTTTCCCACATTTGTTTCTGTAGAAACCTTGCAAAGTGTATTAAACATTAACCCTAAAAATGGGATAATTTTACTGATGGTAGTGTGAGTTTCTGCTGAAATTTCATTAGTTACTTTATAAAAAGGTTTTAGTACTTTAAGCGCATCATTCAAAGCACTTAATTCTCTACCAGAGAGCATGTCGGGTGCCCCTGGAAACTTTTGCAATGTTAGTGTAACAAAATTTTTTAGTAGTACAAATCTCTCAATCATCAAGAAATACGAATTCCATCGAGTCTCAACATGCTGAATTAATTTTAATGTCACAGAACCTTTTTCATTCTGCGATGAGTCGGCGTAAACAGACTAACATGGCAGAGTTGAGGATGAGTTTCAATGAGTGTGAGTTCGTTCACTGTTAAAATAGTGTAAATTTGTAAACATATTTGCAAGAACTTTGTTTCATCGCAATTTCTGCGAAATTCCCGGACTGTCCGAGTGAAAACCGAACAGGTGGTAACACTAGGAACAAAGAATGAACTGCATGCATCGATGAATCAAAATTCACATATTGCTAACATCGATTCAGGATCGATGTTTCAAAAATATCGGAAGGTCGATGCATCGACGAACAAAAACATCGATGTATCGATGTCACATCGATGCATCGCACAGCACTAGTCAGAAATATTTATTGCTCCACTTTTGTAGCATTACGTAGGCTGTACAGAAAGGCCTTCTTTTACAATAAATATAAGTAAGCCTATATCGAACTATATAGGCTTACTTATATTTATTGAGTACTATATAGACTTACTTATATTTATTTATTGAATATAAGTAAGACTATATAGTTCTATATAGGCTTACTTATAAGTAAGCATATATAGAACTATATTTAACGTAAAAAGAAATACCAGTAACTTGATAATTTGTCGGCTGAATAAGCCGTCATCAATTATATCCAGTTAACAAGGTTATATTTTAAACAGAAATATATAACAGGTTTATATTTTATATAATTTAGACTCGTTTGTTATCTTTGAGTTCGATAATTAACATTTATGAGTTAGTTTGATAGTTATTTGGTTTCTTCAAAATACATTTCATATTTCATTATTTGAGTTATATAAATGATATTAACATCAGATTTTGAATATAAATTAATATCTGAATTATATTTATTGTTTAAAAAGTAAGTTCAATAATGCCATTAAACATAATGCAGTCACGTACAAAATAAATAAATAAAAAAAACAATTATTTATTACTATTCACTTGAAATATTAATTCGTCCCCTCATTTATAAATATAATGAAGTACTGTTATTTATTTTAAACGTAAAATATTGCCCTCGTTTATTTAATATCCGGTTATATTAGTAAATATGTAGTGAACGTATTTACATTATAGTAAATGTAACAGTAAAAATACTTTAGTAAATTCAATAAATTGTAAAATAGCCTACACTAAAATATACTTATTTATTTTTGTATAATAACTATATTTATTGCATGAAGCAAAAATTGAATTAATGTTAGATTGTTTCTTTGTAATTTATTTGTTGTTGTCTTTGTGTAAAATAGACCTATAAATTATAGATACTCCAGAAAATTGTATTTATTAAAGCAATTGAATTAAAAATTGGATTGGAGGGATACTACAAAACAACAGGTGGGCGATCAGCGAACGAAAATGCCTCCAGTCGGGTCCAGTTGGAAGCTCCTTGGCAGTTTCTATAAGAAACTAGCCCCTAGTTTGGTATTAAATGCATGAAAAAAACTTGGAAAACTCCACGTGGCTATGCCGTTGATCAGGCGCAAACCTGCGCCTAGTATCGGTGGTTTCTCGACCACCGGTGGACATTAATTAAAAACTAAAATGTCCTATGATTAATTATTGAAAATTTTAAATATTCGTCCAATTTACATAATTTAAAATTATTTCAAAATTCAATAAACTAATTTATTTTATATCAATTACAGTTACGATAAAAGGTCAAATAAATGCTAAATTTTTTATACAAATTCGTTCGTTACTGGATAATAAAACGGTCGGTTCTTTTACGAGTTGGCATGGAGGTCAATTGGGGAATCCTCTATGTGATCTTAAAAGTTCTGTTGGTGTTATGAAACTACCAAAATTAACATTAAAATGGAAAGCTCCTTCGCTTCCTTTAGGTAATTTGAGAGTTGTGTAAGTAAAGAATTGGAATTACGGCATTGATCAGTTGAGACTAAACATAAATACAATATTGTGTTGTTTTTTTCAGGGGTACTTTCATTTACTCTAATAAATATTGGGTTATAACTGATGGCCCGAAGATTTACGAAGGAGTGAATCGCAGATTAGTAAGGAAATTAAGAAGTAAATACATTTATATTTATAATTTATAAGGACAGTTTGTGTTTAAAGGTGTAATGTTCTTCTATTTTTATTTTCAATTATTTAAACCTCTCAGATTCCGATTGCTATAATTGCTATAGTTATACAAAAGAAGGTGAACGATGTAATTCTGCTCCTTGTGATTATATACTGAGATACGAAATAATGGATGATCGAATTGCTAAATTTGCTTTGGATTCGCCTCTTAAACCTTATTCGTATATTGGAATAGCTTTTACGAGAAATACAGAAAAAGTAAGTTATTGATACAATAATGTTTACATATAGCTTTTCTATTCGTTCTAAGCAAAGCTGCGCACACGGGGGTTTTGGATATTAAATAACTCCTAGCATTTGGCAATTCAAATTGAAAGTTATTAGGCTACTACGTTAATAAAATAAAACGGTATATTGTATATAACTTATACAGTGGTGCCTCGTATAACGTACTTAATCCGTTCCAGGTGCACATCCGTTAAGTGAAAAGTCCGTTATACGAAAAGTCCCATAGAAATACATGTTAAAACATATAATTTGTTCCGCAGCCTAAAATAACCGTACCAAATGAAAATGAAGCAGTAAACGAATGAAAATGTAGCAGTCACCAATTATGCCGGGTAGTCAGATGTTGTGAGGAGGTGGAGGAACACTTTTTTCACACATTCATACAGATACAGACTTTTTACACATTGCAGCAGGTCTCTTTTTATTGTTTTTTAATCGGAGTCAGATTTAGAAGAGGCTACCGGAGCTTGCAGGTCAACTCCTCTTGTTCCATATTTTGTTTTTTCCTTGCTGGCTTCTTGAAAAACATGTCCAAGGTGGTCTGTTTCTCTCTCTTCTTCAACACTTGTCGGAAATGACGGGCAAGGGTGTCATTGTAGAAATCATTGATCCTATTGGCCTCAGCTCTGTTTGGATAATGAGTGTTGGTAAACTCCTGAACCTCTCCCCATTTGACAAGGAAGTTTTTGTCAACTTTCTCTCCTTCTGATGATTTCTTGCTTTGTTTCAATTGAAATCACCTTTCTGTTTTTTTAGAAGCCATGATTTGCACAACACTTGAATAAATGTAAATACCCCCCTGCACTGAGGTGATGTACTGTACGTAATAAACAAGAGAGCAAGCCGAATCCCAACGGAGCTCTGTACTTCAGATATACTAATAATATATTCTAATAATACGAATATATTATAAAAATAGCAGATTGTCATTGGCAAACGAATGGAAACATCATTCGCACTTGTTCGCAGAAAGTCCGTTGTTCGCAGCCAGTCCGTTGCTCGAGTCACGTAACGGCCAAACAGAAAGTCCGTTGCTCGAGTCACGTAACGGCCAAACAGAAAGTCCGTTGTTCGCAGCCAGTCCGTTGCTCGAGTCACGTAACGGCCAAACAGAAAGTCCGTTGTTCGCAGCGTCCGTTATTCGAGGCGTACGTTATACGAGGCACCACTGTATTTATTTTGTATCCGTTCAGTTCATGATTAGTCTTATCTATTTATATCTACAGGATGATCATAATCAAAGAGTGGGTGTCAGAGCACTCTAAACAGAACTATTGGATAAATATCAACCAAACACTATACATACAGCCCCGAGTATGCGGTTTCGATTTTCGGAAAATTTTTATTTCAAAATTCAGCCGCTAGGGAGAAATTTGGCTCTGTTATGTACCTGCTGTCCCTTCAATGTACTGTACCAGTACATATTGAGTACGTTTTCTAACGAATTTTGGGATTTAAGAAGTAAACTGCAATGATTTTATTTCAATTACAGATGTGAATACAGGTGTAGAATGTGAAATTGAGGATCAAACTGAGTACTGTATCTTGTCGAAGAATTATGAAGAATGTTTGCAACCGGAATGTTTGCTTTTATACCGGAAATTCGTTAGAAAGCAACATAATACACACAATGATGCAATGACAGCAGCGCTAAATTTCGCTCTAACGGGTGAATTTTGAAGTAAAACTTTTTTACGAAAATCGAAACCTCATACTCAGGACACCAAATTATTCCAGATATACCAAATTTGGAACTCAATTGGTTACTCAATAAGTTAGTTCTTTCTACGTAAAGCTCTGAACACGTATTTTTTTTAGCTAAGATCACTTTCTACACTGTAAAAATTAATATATAATGTATATTTTCATATTATAAAACATCCTATAAACATCTGTTATAAAAATAATGTTTTTAAAAAGTCTTGTGCGCGGGTCTTATTTTAAGGAATCTTTAGAACTTTTCAGCTTTAATTAATTATAAAAAAACAGGTCTGTATGTGGAAATTTATTATTTATTCATCATTTTCATTGTAATTTTGACTTTAATTTGATTAATTTTAAACTATTTAGCTTTAATTTGAAAGTATAAATTTATTTATTTCTGAGAGATTACATTTATTTAATGAACCTATTACTAAAAGCAGAAATGANTTTGTTGTGTTATAATATTTATTATAAAATAATTTTATAATATTAAAATAAAGTTAAGGATATTTCAGTACCAACTCAACTGTAAAATTATATCTGAAATTTCTATTTAATCGTTAAAAAAGGTAAAAATTTTTCTGGATAATTATCATTTGCAGATATAGCATTAAACAAATTACATTGTATGAAATAATCAAAAATCATGTTACTATATCATTTAACATTTTACAGCTCTATCTCTATGTATCTACACTTTTTAATGCTAAAAATCGATTTAAAAAAATAATAAATAAATAAAGAAGATCATCATCTTATAATTGTGTTGTCTCTAAGACGAAGGCAGCAACATTACGTAGTTTGAATATAGTGAATTAATGATTTCTAATAGGATAAATTTCAAATTCTGTAGACAAATTTCAGTTTAAAGCGAAAAATTCATTATAACAGGGATCAAAAGAATAAAACAGCAGTATCAGTATTTTTACGCTTATTAAAATATAAATAGGCATGAAAAAGAAAAAGAACACCATGGCACTGCTTTTTTCAGGCACTTCAAGTTGGTATAGATGTCGTAGGCGAATTGGAAAATCCGGCTCATTATAAAGGACGCCGTCGTTTTACAATGAGCCTGGCAAATTCGAAAATCATCTATTTGCTATTCAGCCTGACATTTGTTAGGCGTTTTGCAATTAACCCACTGAGCTTTAGGCAATTAAGGAAGTGAACTTCAGTTTGTCACGTAGTTACGAAAAGAAAAAGTTTATTATAAAACAATTTACACAATGTGTTATAAAAGTTATAATGTAGAAAAAGCAACAATGTTTATCTTAATGTAACTGCCTATATGGCTTTTTTAATACTCTTTCCGCTGTATGGGCAATAAAACAGCCTTTTAAGCAAGCCCATTATGGGCTTGGCCAGGCCCACATGAGCGGCCGGTGGTAAGGGACGAGACCTGACATATCCGAACGACCTCCACCCGAAAAATTTCTAGTATTTTTCAATCCGTTCAAATTAAACCCTGGGTTCCCTAGAGCGGTGGACTGGCCGCTCGGCCATCCGGCTGTTGTCTGTATTGCTAAACTGAAGTCCAACACTAGGATAACTTTATTACGATTTTATTTTTTGCTGTCTGCGTGTAGTTGGTTCAATGGTTCTTCGGTTTCACCATAAAGACAGTTATATTTCGAATTTACCAATTCCTGCTGTTACTAAAATCTTTATTTCGTTTATAAAAAATCTAGCAACGAGTTGCATAACTTTCCCGACTTCAAGTTTACAACATGCTCTTCTATCCGACTCCATTCGCCAAAAGTCATGTTGTTCCAGGCTTTGTCCCCTTTATAGAAAAATTTCCTAGAACAAAATCTAAATCTACTAGATGCACATTTTTATTTATTTATTTATTTTGGCTAGTAATTATTTAAAATAAAATTGTGTATGGCGCCGTATGTTATGAGATTTTATTAAAAAAATTTACATATTTTTAATTATTATAAAATATCAAAAGACTTAATTTTGAGAGTAGAGATGAGTTTTATAAAACACTGTAAATGCTAACAATAAGTAAAATTTTGTATGTTTTTGGAACTTAGCATAAAGTTGCTATTGAGAACAAATCATACAGGAACACTCCTTTTGATGGAAATATAGATTTATTTTCTATAATTTACAACGGATATTCATTTCGGGCTCTATTCCCCTCTTCAGTTCTTATTTTATTATGTATATCGGTAAAACTAAAAATAATTATAGTGACAGCTGGAATAACAAATTGTTAAAACCGTGGGGTAAAACAAATAAAACTGTAAAAATAAAAATATTTTGGTTAAAATGTAAAAAAATTTGACTAATAAAAATAGTAATAGTAGTGGTCTTATGGGTTTCCAGATTTTCTTCACGTGTCTAACATCTATATAGGGGCCAGTAGAAAGTTTGCTTTTTTTCCGGGTCGGGGAAAAAATCCCCAATATAATTAATTTTCTATAAAATAAAAGTCGAACTATTGTTATTTTTCGGTATGTGAAAAAGTCATGGCGTTATTTTTTCGTTTGTTTTATTCGTATACGACTATGCCACACGAGCGACCTGCCGAGGGAAGAATGCCACCCGGGAAGTCTTTTTATGGGAAAGTGATTCTTATTTAGGTTATACTAACGTGAAGAAAACCCAGAAAATTCCACGTGTCAGCCAACTGGCGAGGCGATGTTTGATCCATAGGCCTTACAATAGAAAATCTTTTCGTGAGACATTCTCTTGGCGATCTGCCAAGGGAATGTTGCCCTTATCCTATTAATTAAACCTCTTTTGGATCGACTCGGAAATTTTCGTGGGTGAGCTGGTGATGGATCATCCTTCACTACAAGAAGGTATTTTTATGTCGATCATGGCTTCAGCCATGTTCACGATGCAGATCTGGCCGAACCCATGATGGACATGGGAGCATAGTAAGAAATGAAGTAGAGAAGTTTAATAATTATAATCTGTCGGTAATAAAAATTACCTTCTAATTTAATCACACTACTTATTTATTATCCTTTCTATTTTTAAGCATTTAAAGTGATTTTACCAAAGAAAGAAAAAGTTGGAAAATTATTTGAAAATTTTGTTACATGTAAATTTCCTAGAAATCGTTCAAACTATTCAGTTGATTCCCAAAATTTATTAATATATTACTTGTGGATTGTACTAGTTATCTGTAAGTATTCATTTAATATCTTTATATATAGCATAAGTTGCAGACTACTCATCATTCGTAAATAATACACGTTTATGAAATTATTTATAAATGTGTTTTTTATGTTTTGTTGTGTTATAATATTTATTATAAAATAATTTTATAATATTAAAATAAAGTTAAGGATATTTCAGTACCAACTCAACTGTAAAATTATATCTGAAATTTCTATTTAATCGTTAAAAAAGGTAAAAATTTTTCTGGATAATTATCATTTGCAGATATAGCATTAAACAAATTACATTGTATGAAATAATCAAAAATCATGTTACTATATCATTTAACATTTTACAGCTCTATCTCTATGTATCTACACTTTTTAATGCTAAAAATCGATTTAAAAAAATAATAAATAAATAAAGAAGATCATCATCTTATAATTGTGTTGTCTCTAAGACGAAGGCAGCAACATTACGTAGTTTGAATATAGTGAATTAATGATTTCTAATAGGATAAATTTCAAATTCTGTAGACAAATTTCAGTTTAAAGCGAAAAATTCATTATAACAGGGATCAAAAGAATAAAACAGCAGTATCAGTATTTTTACGCTTATTAAAATATAAATAGGCATGAAAAAGAAAAAGAACACCATGGCACTGCTTTTTTCAGGCACTTCAAGTTGGTATAGATGTCGTAGGCGAATTGGAAAATCCGGCTCATTATAAAGGACGCCGTCGTTTTACAATGAGCCTGGCAAATTCGAAAATCATCTATTTGCTATTCAGCCTGACATTTGTTAGGCGTTTTGCAATTAACCCACTGAGCTTTAGGCAATTAAGGAAGTGAACTTCAGTTTGTCACGTAGTTACGAAAAGAAAAAGTTTATTATAAAACAATTTACACAATGTGTTATAAAAGTTATAATGTAGAAAAAGCAACAATGTTTATCTTAATGTAACTGCCTATATGGCTTTTTTAATACTCTTTCCGCTGTATGGGCAATAAAACAGCCTTTTAAGCAAGCCCATTATGGGCTTGGCCAGGCCCACATGAGCGGCCGGTGGTAAGGGACGAGACCTGACATATCCGAACGACCTCCACCCGAAAAATTTCTAGTATTTTTCAATCCGTTCAAATTAAACCCTGGGTTCCCTAGAGCGGTGGACTGGCCGCTCGGCCATCCGGCTGTTGTCTGTATTGCTAAACTGAAGTCCAACACTAGGATAACTTTATTACGATTTTATTTTTTGCTGTCTGCGTGTAGTTGGTTCAATGGTTCTTCGGTTTCACCATAAAGACAGTTATATTTCGAATTTACCAATTCCTGCTGTTACTAAAATCTTTATTTCGTTTATAAAAAATCTAGCAACGAGTTGCATAACTTTCCCGACTTCAAGTTTGCAACATGCTCTTCTATCCGACTCCATTCGCCAAAAGTCATGTTGTTCCAGGCTTTGTCCCCTTTATAGAAAAATTTCCTAGAACAAAATCTAAATCTACTAGATGCACATTTTTATTTATTTATTTATTTTGGCTAGTAATTATTTAAAATAAAATTGTGTATGGCGCCGTATGTTATGAGATTTTATTAAAATATAAATTATATGTTATTAATTATAATAAAAAGGCAGAATGATTAATTTTGGAGTAGCAAAGAGATTTTAAGAAATTCTAAAGGTAACCAATCCAAGTAAATAACAAGTAAAATTTTCATTAAGTCCGGCTCCACTCCAGATATGACATGTAAAGGTACAATACAGTACATACATATTCACAAATGTTTCCCCGTTTTTCTGTTTTTACTTTTTTGGGTCCAGGGATCTCAAAATATCGAGATTTGTAAAACGTCCAGAGAGTCAAATTTGACACAGTTATAACATTTTCCCGTGTTGAAAACAAACAG